TGACCAAACTATCTTCGTTGACCGAACTATCTTCGTGACCAAACTATCTTCGTTGACCGAACTATCTTCGTGACCAAACTATCTTCGTTACCGAACTATCTTCGTGACCAAACTATCTTCGTGACCGAACTATCTTCGGCCTTCGTGACCAACGAAATATTCTTTTGAAGATTACGGAATAGTTTCTTGTTTTCATAATTCAGTTAGCGCTGTAGGATCTTTTTGAAAGCTCAGTTCCTTAAACTGAGAAAACATTCATTTTAGCTAGAATTGTATTGTGTATTTCCGTCCTTCGTTACCAAAGGAAAAGTCCCTTTGTAGACAACGGAATATACAAGTCTTTATTGAACGCGACAGAATCTTTAATACCGAAAGTTTAGCTCTTTTAATTGAAGCACAGGTCATTTTAAGTTAAGTGCTATCGGTGAAGTGGTGCCCCTCGTGACCAAGGGAAAAATCCCTTTAAAGTTTACGGAAGTATTTACTGGCGTTGCTATAAACACTATTGCATTGCTGTACAATGTATAATGAAGCTCGCTTACGTCAATTGGAGCACATGTCATATATTGAGCTACAATTATTTTGTGTTCTCTTGCCTTTGACCTGACAGAGAGATCAGATAAGTTTCAAATACAGAAGTAATCTGAAGTGCGCTCAAAGTCCAATTAACTGATGACGCGAAATACTTTAGCGCGGCGTTGTTTTTCTCGTCCGCTGCTGAAAGTAAAATAAAGGCCGCTGTAGGATTACACTCAATGACATCTCTACGCAGTTAGAAAAAGACCTTTTGCAAATAATGTAAGATCGAATGAGAAAGTTTGTGGAATAATATAATGGAAACATGATCTTGACCGCAAAAGCCCCAAAGGGGAGACGTAAGCTGCGGTTAATTGTCAATCAGAGATCAGTGACTACGCAATCTCATATATATATATATAGTGACCTGCACGTGACATTAGCGTGTACGAATTTCGGGTAAAAGAGCAGCGTCTTTGATGATGTAAAATTTTACGTTCATTAGCAGTGGCGAAGACGTCTAGATCTCTGAAAGAAGTTTTAAACGGTTTTGATCGCGCTCTCCGCGCGAGCGTTGAATTCTGCTCGCCGGATATCAAGCCATGGGCAACACATCTTCAACTTCAGGGAGGCGGAGGACATACTCTGATTACCAGTATCAGCAGAGTTCTGGAAGACCGACGTCAACACGCTCGCGCTATCAAACCATGGGCAACACATCTTGGACTTCAAGGACGTGGGGGCCATACTCTGATTATCAGTATCAGCAGGGTCTTGGAAGACCGACACCAACATACTCGCGCCACACGGGAGCAGAATTGGGTTCCTACACACATAACAGTCAAGCTGGGTCGGTCTATATTGGCCGCACAAGACTTGCAGAGGTAAGAGGGATATCTACTTATCTACGTAGTGTAACTGTAAAACCAAGAACAATATATAGGAAGTTTAATGACTTACACGGCATTGACACCGCGGCAATAACCAATCAGGTTTAAAATCGCATATAAATCATAATGTTAGCAAAAATTCAGCTTCAGTATTTGAAACGTTTTAATAATTACGTTTGAATTGTTTTGTGTTGCTTTCCCTTCGTGAGTCAAAGGTTCAAATTAACACCTGCCTACCCGTCGATTTTAAATAATTTTCGGAAGCGGCAGTTAAAAAAGCATTCAAGCCTGTCGCTGGCGACAGGCAAGGAAATCAATCAAACTTCCAAAAATTTTATTNATATATATATAGTGACCTGCACGTGACATTAGCGTGTACGAATTTCGGGTAAAAGAGCAGCGTCTTGGATGATGTAAAATTTTACGTTCATTAGCAGTATATCAAGCGATGGGCAACACATCTTCAACTTCAGAGAGGCGGAGGACATACTCTGATTACCAGTATCAGCAGAGTTCTGGAAGACCGAAGTCAACACGCTCACGCTATCAAGCCATGGACAACACATCTTGGACTTCAAGGACGTGGGTGCCATACTCTGATTATCATGATCAGTATCAGCAGGGTCTTGAAAGAGCTACACCAGCATACTCGCGCCACACGGGAGCAGAATTGGGTTCCTACACACATAACAGTCAAGCTGGGTCGGTCTATATTGGCCGCACAAGACTTGCAGAGGTAAGAGGGATATCTACTTATCTACGTAGTGTAACTGTAAAACCAAGAACAATATATAGGAAGTTTAATGACTTACACGGCATTGACACCGCGGCAATAACCAATCAGGTTTAAAATCGCATATAAATCATAATGTTAGCAAAAATTCAGCTTCAGTATTTGAAACGTTTTAATAATTACGTTTGAATTGTTTTGTGTTGCTTTCCCTTCGTGAGTCAAAGGTTCAAATTAACACCTGCCTACCCGTCGATTTTAAATAATTTTCGGAAGCGGCAGTTAAAAAAGCATTCAAGCCNTAGCACGCTTTATTACACAAATTAGAGTATATGAAAGTTTTAAACTTTCACTTGCTATAAAAGTTAAGAACACTTGACGATAAATACGAAACAGTTTGGCAACAAAACCAACTTTAAACTTTAGCGGGCCGTACAGGAGAGTACGGCCCGCTAAATTGACCAATCACAGCGCGCGTTCTAACTGAGAGATATAATAAGAAGAAATTATTAACTAATAGGCTAGTGAATACGGTTCGTGACATGGGTTCAATTTGAGACACTTAGACACTTGCATAGCCTGCGAGAGCATCCGGTTTTCAGCTATTGCTTCAGGAATCGGAAGTAAGGTAAGAGCAGTCGCCAAATACACGAACTAAGTCTCCCACGCAGACGCTTTCAAGTTTCGTCACGCAATCCGGCTTCCTTCCCCGCCAGCACAATGAACCTCTGCAGAGAAGGCTAATACGAACTCGATGAAAATCGATAATCGATGACAATTGATACTAATCAATATCAATTCATTGATCGATAATGATAATCGATGGTCAATCGACTAAGAGGATTTGCGTGACCTTTTATCGATTGGTCATTTTATTTGTGTATTTGTGTGGCCACACCAAAAGTCGGTATCCGAGAAGTTTGCAGTTTGCGAGAGAGTATGTCGCATGTTTGCTGATATTAGTATATTTGCTAGCCAACTAAGATATGGCGGAAGGGCTTTGTAATTTTCCTCCTCGGAAAAAGGTCCCTTACGTGTTACAATGGCTAAAACTCGCGCTCCAATCTGGACCCGAATTCGAGCCCAGGATCCGTCGGTATTTTTCGCTTTTCCTTGTTTAACACTTTTTGCTAGAAGTCTATTAACTAGACTAATACCCGTAAGCCACACATGTCCGCTATACGGAACTATTTTTTTATGAAAAGAGTAATTCCCTTTTACGCAAAGGCTAGCTTATGTCAATCATCATGCACCGGGAAATCTACGGATTTGTTCTTACTGCACTTTGATTTTCTTATGGTGGATATGAACTGCTTGCTGGAACGTAAACAGCGTGACGAGGACGTTGAATTCCGTTGCAGTGACATTGAGAAAAAAGTGTAGTAATGGAGAAAATAAAAAATAAGCATCCTTCAGTGATTTTTGGTCTTTTGCTCATACTGTCAGGATTTCGATAAAACAAGTAGAGACAAACTATCTCAGGTTGTGAATCAATGCGAATAGAAAACGTCCGCTAACAAAAAACAGGCATTGTTCAAAATTAGTAAAATTACAACTGAGCAGTTTGGCAAAATTGAAAAAAAAGAAGGAAAAAAAAACGCAATAGCTATTCAGCTGTTGTTTTCTTCAGGTTGGACATTGGCAGAGACAGGAGAAAAAAATAATAATCTGACTGTAACTATAGACACAGGTAAACAGGCGAGAAAGTTTCGACCTCTGATGACGGAGGGAAACCCCCCCCCCGTAACCATTGCTAACATGTTAACGTTCTAATCTTACCGAAAGTCATTTATCATTTTTTGTTATTATTATCATTAACTGAGTGTGAAACAGTTGACCTGAAATTTTTGTCTAATTTAAATCTTTTCCTCTTTACCCTAAACAGCAATTCCCGTATATATATCCTATGTCAAAGATTACTCTCCCTGCTCTTGGTAAAGTTCTTATTGCGGAATGCGGAAACGAAGGTCAACACCCTTACCTAAGCGAAGAAGGAAAAACAACACTGGCGTTTCTGAGAGCTGCAATCTCTTTCGTTCCCCTCGCCTTGGACGCCGGTGCAGATATGCAGAACGCATCTTTCCTTTTCGCCCAGGCAGGAATAGAGTTTGCCATAGTCGCTGGGAAAGGAGACTGGGAGTTTTTTTTCTACCCGGATTGCAAAGGCGAAATTTCTGGTCATTGTGTGCGAAAGCCCTGGCTTCGCTACATCTGGGATGGCGTTAAGTCAACTGTTCGCCGTGTTGGCTCGTTCCTCTTGCCAATTTTTGGTCCTTCGCTTCTTGCTTTGGTAGCTGCATAAGCAAATGTACAGTAACTGCAACATTTTTTAAAATTTTTGCTGCTGCTTTCAATAGGCCACGTTCGATATATCAGCATTCTAACATGGTTTCGAGGCTTTCAGGACAAACTTCTATATTTGGTGGCGTTTTGTTTGTCTCCAAGTCTCTTTTGGGAATTGAGAGACAAAAGGAAACTTTAAAAAATTACAATTTTGACCCGAAAGCCTCGGAACCTTGGTAGAATATTGAAATATCGAACGTGGTCTATTAGTAACGATGTATGGGTTATTGACCGAGTGTGAGGTCAAGATGGCTGGATATTGGCCAAGTTCTTTTTTTGCGCGTTTATGGACCGAGATGGAGTCGAGGTGCACAAACTCCCAAAAAAAGAACTAGGCCAATATCCAGCCATCTTCACCGAACAAGCTTGGTCAATAAAGGATTTATTATATGGCTTTCGGGGAAATTTTTCTTGCGGGACACGGCGGGTNGGGTAGTCCCGAGCGGGCAAGATAGCTCCATCTTGCCCGCTCGGGTAGCCAATCACAGCGCAGGATTTGATTCATCTTACCCGCTCACGGAGCTAGCCGTATAATAAGTAGTCTTACTTAAGGGCCCATTAACCGAGTCATGCGCGCACTCGCGCGCGTTGCTAAGGAGGTGAAATTTTACTTCCGGTTACTTACGTCAGCCTGACCGCGGAAAATACTAACAACTCAAAAACTTGCAGATTCGCTTACATTTTAAATGTTTTTCCTTGTGTTTCACAAAATGTAAAGTAGAAAAAGTACAAGCAAAGACAAAATAAGAGAAAGACAGAAAAACAAGAGCAATAGAAAGA